CAGGCTGCAGTGCAGTGGCACAATCTCGGCTCACTGCAATCTCCACCTCCCGAGTTCAAGCGATTCTCTTGCCTCAGTCTCCCGAGTAGCTGGCTCCACAGGCATGTGCCACCACACCTGGCTAATTTTTTGTATATTTTTAGTAAAGACGGGGTTTAACCATGTTAGCCAGGATGATCTTGATCTCCTGACCTTGTGATCTGCCCACCTCGGCCTCCCAAAGTGCTGGGATTACAGGAGCGAGCCACTGGGCTCGGCCGAAGCGCACTTTTTATAAATGAAGAGGATTAAATGTTATTAAGAAAACAGAACAGAACATTCTTACCATAGGCAAGTTCCTTTCTACCCATTTTTTAAATGTCCACCTATAAGAAAAGTCTAAGTAACTAGTGCATTGATTGAATGGCATCTACCAGGAAGTCTTCACAGAAAAAGCTGGAGAATCAGTTTGCATTTGACTCTCACTGGATCTCAATTGTTCGATATGTCAGATAAGGTTCCTTGAAATTATGTTTTAGAAAGTACTTTCGATGTTTACAAAACAAAGTAGTCAGGGGTTTTTCAATGCAATTTTTCTGTTTTCTTAAAGTGGTATTCCTTAGACCTCAGAGCAAATGTTAGACATTACAGGGCATAAATGAAAGTTTGTGCCCATTGAACTTGTATCTGGACAATGCAGTGCCCATTGTTAACAATACTGTGTTGTGACGTTAAAAAAAATTGTTAAGGGGGTGTATCTAATATTAAGTGTGCTTACTACAAAACAAACAAACAAGCAAGCAAATGAAAGGTAGGGCACAAGAAAGCTCTTGGAGGTGATAAGTATGTTTATTACCTTGGCTGTGGTGATGGTTCTACAGGTAAATACTTAGGTCCAAACTTAATACATTGTGCAGGTTAAATGGAGGCAATGTTTTACATATCAATTGCAGCTCAATAAAACTGCTTCCTTTTTTTTTAATGGAAGAAAGAAAAATTGTAAGTTAAAAATAAAGTAAAATTGGGGTTAATAAAATGTGAAAAAAAATATTAGGTATTACCCATAGACCTTGATGAAAATTGAAATTTCATGATTTATTAATATAGTTTCTGATTCTTTAGCTCTTGGAATTAGACAAGAAATTGTTTAGTTAACCATCTCACTAAGTGATTTTAATGTGTTCCTAAATTTAAGAAATACATGTCTAAAAGCCATTCTTCTTCTAAAACAATAATGTTTCTGTATTATAAATCATTTTTAAATGACAAATAATAGAGAATTTAATTAAGTTTTCACTGAAGCTCACCCACTTTTCTACCTCCAGGCTTTACTTTTCTGATTATTAGTCTGGAAAACAGACTGGGAGCGGTGGCAAATCAAACTGGGTAACTTAGAAAAAATCATTTTTAGCATAAACTGAAATAAATAACCTTATGAGAAAGACCTGAAAGACCCTCCAGGAGCTCTCAGGTTTCACAAATAAAATGAAGTTGATAAACTACTAAATGAATATTTCAAGTAAATTGATGGATTTATCCATCAATGTATTTTCTTTTATTTCAGAGTTATTGTTGTTGCTGTCATACAGATTAACACTTCACAACAGCTGTTGCCGCCAGATTCAGCAGCAATTGCATGGAATCATTAACTTAAAATAATTAACAACCAGATTTCAGAAGTTAGAGATTGAATTTCAAATCTTGACTCTGCATCAAAATTGCACTGTGCCTTTCGGAAAGTTTAACCACTGATTTCTACTTTGAAGAAAAAAATGAGTATAATAATATCTGCCTCATAAAGTGGTTGTAAAGATCACATGGGCTAATGCACATGAATTTGTATCTTATTGCCTGATACTTAAAGTATATTCGATGAATATTGGCAATTATGATTACCAGTATATTTATACAATAATCTGCTTAGAAAACTGAAAGCAAAACAAATGCCACTTCCGAGTAACTGAAACAATCATTACTTCACGTACAAATTATTGCCCACAAAAGAGCCTATCTTTTTCATTGTCCAAAGAATATATTACCTTAAATATGGCTTTCATTGTAATTATTAAAGATAGTTCCCGTTTCTTCTTATTTAGGTTTTGGTCAAAGTTCTTCACACTACTGAATACTACACTGAAAGAACCACTGAATACTACAAGGCGTATCACGTACAACAGGAGCCCTCTACCCCTTTTTCCTCCTAATTTCACAACTCTGGTGGGAACGATTTTCAGCTACACACAGTCCTCTCATAACATGATAGTGCCTGACCATGACAGTGACTGTGGGCCGGGCGCGGTGGCTCACGCCTGCAATCCCAGCACTTTGGGAGGCTGAGGCAGGTGGAACACAAGGTCAAGAGATCAAGACTATCCTAGTCAACAAGGTGAAACCCCACCTCTACTAAAAATACAAAAAATTAGCTGGGCATGGTGGTGCGTGCCTGTAATCCCAGCTACTCAGGAGGCTGAGGCAGGAGAATTGCCTGAACCCAGGAGGCGGAGGTTGTGGTGAGCCGAGATCGCGCCATTACACTCCAACGTGGGTAACAAGAGCGAAACTCCGTCTCAAAAAAAAAAAGAGTGACTGTGAAATGGGACATTGTGTAAGTCATCTTAATAACCAATGGAAAATGATTGTTCCGTGACCTTTAAAAATGTTTGTCAAAATATTAAAGACTTTCTTGTCATCAGTGATAAACATATAAGAAAATTTAAAAAATAGTGAGGCTAATATTTTATTACAATATTGTAATTTGACAATTATTTCTTTATGAAAACTCAAAAGTAGTTTGACAGATGATAAGGAGTAAGCATGTTTTCTATGCCTTTATGAATTGTCATAATCCTTTCTCAAACTGGGTCAGTTTCAAATATTTAACCTTTTACATTTTCAGTATCATGAACTATCTCAAAAGGATCCATCAACTTAAAGTTTTTATTGACATCACTTCCTTTGGGAGTCTTCATCCTTTTGTAACAAGTGCTTTCTTCATATATGTCAATAAAATTCACCTTCACTAAGTTTTTCTGGCTGCACATCTAGTGTATTGTTCTGTTCTCATGCTGCTAATAAAGTCATACCTGAGACTGGATAATTTATAAAGGAAAGAAGTTTCACTGACCCACAGGAAACTTATAATCAAGGCAGAAGGAGAAGCACACACAACCTTCTTCACATGGTAGCAGGGGACAGAAGTGTCAAACAAAGGGGGAAAAGCTCCTTATAAAACCATCAGATCTTATGAGACCTCACAATTATAAGAACAGCAACGTGAGGGTAACTGCCCCATAATTAAATTATCTCCCACTGGGTCTCTCCTATGACTTGTGGGGATTATGGGAACTACAACTCAAGGTGTCTTCACATTTCAAAAGAAAATCATGTTTTTCCAACAGTCCCCAAAAATCTTGACTCATTCTAGCATTTACCCAAATTTCAAGTCCAATGTCTCATCTGAGACAAGGCAAGTCCCTTCTGCCTATGAACCTGTAAAATAAAAAGCAAATTATTTACTTCCTAGATACCATGGGGGTGCAGGCATTGGGTAAATACACCTGTTTTAAATTGGAGAAATAGGATAAAACAAAGGGGCTACAGGATCCATGAAGTCCAAAATCCTATATGGCAGTCATTCAAACTTAAAGTTCCAAAATGATTTCCTTTGACTCCATGTCTCACAACCAGTTATGCTGATGCAAGAGGTGGGTTCCCACAGCCTTTGGCAGCTCTTCCCCCATGGTTTTGCAGAATACCTCCTCCTGCCCCAGCTGCTTTCACAGCTGGCATTGAGTGTCTGCAGCTTTTCAAAGTGCAGAGTGCAAGCTGTTGGTGTATCTACTATTCTGGGGTCTGGAGGACAGTGGCCTTCTTCTCACAGCTTCACTAGGCAGGGCCCTAGTGGGGAATATGTAAAGGGGCTCCAATCCCACATCTCATTTCCTTTTCGCACTGCTCTAGCATAGGTTCTCCAGGTAGACTCCACCACTGCATCAGACTTCTACCTGGACATCCAGGCATTTCCATATATCATCTGAAATTTAGGCAGATATTCCCAAACCTCAATTTTTGTCCTCTGTGTTCCCATAGGACGAATACCATGTGGAAGTTGCTAAGGCTTGGAGCTTGCACCCTTTGATGCCACAGCCTGAGTTGTACCTTGGCCCCTTTAAGCCAAGGCTGGAGTGGCTGGAATGCAGGGCACCATGTCCCAAGGAGAAATGCAGAAAGGGTCCCTGGACCTTGCCCAGGAAACCATTTTTCCCTCCTAGGCCACTGGGCCTGTGATGTAAGGGGCTGCTGTGAAGGTCTCTGACATGTCCTGGAGACAGTTTTCCCATTGTCTTAATGATTAACCTTCAGCTCCTTGTTACTTATGCAAATATCTGCAGCTGACTTGAATTTCTCCCCAGATAATTGTTTTTCTTTTTCTAATGCATCAGCAGGCTGCAAATTTTCCACACTTTCATACTTTGCTTCTTCTTGAATGCTTTGCTACTTAGAAATTTCTTCTGCCAGATACCCTAAATCATCTCTCTCAAGTTCAAAATTCCACAAATCTCTAGGGCAAGGGCAAAATGCTGCCAGTCTCTTTGCATAGCAAGAGTGACTTTTGCTCCAATTCCCAACAAGTTCCTCATCTCCATCTGAGACCACCTCAGCCTGGACCTCATTGTCCATATCACTGTCACCATTTTGGTCAAAGCCATTCAACGAGTCTCTAGGAAGTTCCAAACTTTCCCACATTTTCCTGTCTTCTGAACCTTCCAAGTGCCTAGGAAGTTCCAGACTTTCCCACATTTTCCTGTCTTCTTCTGAGCCCTCCAAACTGCTCCCACCTCTCTGCCTGTTACCCAGTTCCAAAGCTGCTTCCACATTTCTTGGTATCCTTATAGCAGTACCCATTCTCTCCTGGTACCAATTTACTGTATCAGTCTGTTCTCAGGCTGCTAATAAAGACATAACTGACACTGGGTAATTTATAAAGGAAAGAGGTTTAATTGACTTACAATTCAATATGTCTGGGGAGGCCTCAGGAAACTTACAATCATGGCAGAAGAGGAAGAAAATGCATCCTTCTTCACACAGTGACAGGAGAAAGAAGTTCCTAGCAAAGAAGAGAAAACCCCTTTTAAAGCCTTCAGATCTTGTGAGAACTCAACTCACTATCATGAGAATAGCAGCAATGGGAGTAACCAAGCCCATGATTCAATTCTGCTGGGTACCTTCAATGACATGTGGGGATTACGGGAACTGTAATTTAAGATGAAATTTGGGTGGGGACATAAACAAACCACATCATTTAGAGTCTCTCCAGTAGCAACTGTGCTCAACAGAACACAGTGTTCAGCAGATTGTCAACAGTCTTACGATCGGCTATTTATTTCTATAAACCATTCGTGTTTTATTCAAATGTTACTTCATTTTATCACTTTCCATTTACTTGTGAACTTTCGTCTTTGTCGCCAACTACCTGCTTTTATCATTCGTTTTTGTAAAACATCACATCGGTTTATCATTGGAAGACAAGACAATTGTGCATGAACTAAATAACAGATGTGCAGTGACCAATCACAAACAGATTTTGAAATTAATGACATAATTTGTCACTAATCATGATGCACATCTCTGACGTAGTTAACCACCTGTGGACTGATGAGCTAGCAATGGAGGTTTTACAGCTTGTAGTTACAGCATTTCCATGGCAAGTGAAGTCCGAACCATGTTTTGGGAAACCAGTCTATTTAAACAGCAGTTACTGAAATTTGTACCTGTTGAAAATCTGCAAAGCAAGGACTGCAATCATTTTGGCTGGATTTTTGGTAGCTTCTTCTATAAATATAAACACAATGGTTATATTTGTACATTTTTATGTTTAAATTTTAGTCATTTTCTTTTGGCCTTCCACTATTTAACTTTCTTTTACTACCATTTCACTGTTGCCATCACATGGCCATACAGATATGTGTGAACTGAGAACTAAAAATAAAATCCTAAGGTTCCCAATGAACTGAACATATCCCTCTTGGCCAATGGCACCCCAGGGTAACTTTAAAAACAGAAATCTTTTTTTCCTTTTTTTTTTTTTTGAGACAAAGTCTCAGTCTGTCATCAGGCTGGAGTGCAGTGGCACAGTCTCAGCTCACTGCAACCTCTGCCTCCCAGGTTAAAGCAATTGTCCTGCCTCAGCCTCCCCAGTAGCTGGGACCACAGGCGCATGCCACCAATTTTTTGTGTTTTTAGTAGAGATGAGGTTTCACCATATTGGCCAGGATGGTCTTGATCTTCTGGCCTCGTCATCTGCCCACCTCGGCCTCCCAAAGTGCTAGGATTACAGGCATGAGCCACTGTGCCTGACCAACCAAACCAAACTCCTAGTTATAATGAAACAGGACATTAGACCAGCCCCATTACACCCCCTACCCTTTGCAGTTCAGACACAACAATGGATCAATACTAATGTTACAATGGTGATCATAACACTGACAAAAAGGACTCTCTGTGGCGATAGTTATCAAATTATAAACAAGACCTAAGGCCATGCCAGGCAAGGGGTAAGCCACACACTCCCACACTTGGAGAATAAGCTACTACATTCTAACTGCCACAGGATTTTTCTTTTTCTCTAGCAGCTGAACAGCACTGATTTCCAGATAAGCAATATTGAAACAATTGCAGCTTATCCACCACCAGACACTAATTAACCCCTTTGTTCCACAAGCCATAACTACAACTTTCAACAAGAGATTGAGTTCAGCTCTTCCTGGTAAGAAACCACAGACCATGGACTGGGTTTAGTCCATTCACAGAGGCTACTGAATGCCTCTACATCCCTGCTTCACTTTTTGACATGTAGGATCTAATTGTAATATATTTAATGTCAAGTCTGTGGCCCAAAATGAACATGCAACACATGTAACATGTATGTTTGCTTATCACACATATGTGCATCTCTCCTTAGTAAATATTAATAGCTTCTCCTATAACCTGTTGAAAATATCTATTAGCCAACAGCTTCAGCATAAATTATTGGTTTTTGCCTTGTCTCCCTCTAAGTACCTGCTAAAGGTTTCATTCAGCTAGGGGTGATGTTCCCTCTTGTGAGGAGTGGCCAGCGAGCAGGCTGCAACTCTTTGTAAGAAATAATTCCTCTTCTCCAAATTAATCAACCTCGTGATTCTCCAGTTGACAGGACATACAGACAGACACACAGTTTTTATTTCCACATCTTCCCATTAAAATATCATAGCTTGGATTTTACAAATTAATTTAGGCTAGATTTGTTATTGCAGTAACAACTCCAACATCTTCATGTCTTAAAACCGAAAGTTTTCACTCTTTGCTCAAGCAAAGCCCAGCGCAGGTCCAGGATCTCCTCCAGAACCACTGTCGCATAGGTTGTGTCTCAACCACTAAGACTAATGGAAGCGCCATTATTCAATATTTGTTTCTGTGTCCTTTTCAGTTAATTCTGCAGGGAAAAAGAAGGCTGAAGGGGCTCACATAGACAGTTAATGTCCTCAACTCAGAAATGACATGACAACCTTGTATCCACAACCCACCTGCTAGAACTCATCAGCCCTCGTCTAACTACCAGGAACCAGAAAATGTGATTTTCCTTTGGGCTTAGAAAGCACGTACTGATTACCACTGAGTAACAGAAATCTTTGCTAGGTAGTTCAGTAGCCAGAGTTTATGTTATTTGAACTATAGAAATACTGTTCTTGCCAGAGAAAAGTGTTAAGCTGTAATTACATTTTCGGTCTGGAAATTTTTTTTTCTTTGGAATCCATATTGTCTTTCTCCTTCTTTTTTGTTATTTTTGTAGGTATTTTCATTAGTTTAATGGCAAACTTTTTAAATTGTCTAAATCCCAATGCTTTCATATCCAGCAGTTATTCTTTAAACTTTACGCCATTTGTGAAATCTCTCCGAGATGTCTGAACCGTTCTAATATCCACCTATCCTGCTTTACACCTGTGGTACAGTTGCTCATTATGAAATCTCCCTCGTTCATCTTCCATTATTTTCTTTAAATTTCTCTGTGGTTGTGTCTGCATTTTCTGCATCCTGTATATATCTTATTTTTTATTTTTTATTCTCATTTATGTTACATACTTTTTTTACTTGCCCTCAGATAGAGAAAATCTGGAGAATAATTTTTTCGAGAACTGGAATGTTTTAAATGTTTTAATTTTATCACCTATGTGATTAAGATTTTTATTTTACAGATTTTAAGAGTGGAAACCATATCCACACACACTGTTGAAGTCTTTGCCGCAATTATATCATTTTCATTGGCACTGTTGTGTAATCATTAGGCTTTGATGTGAGATTGTTTCCAGCCACATCTCTCTGGAGGCTTGGAATATCTCTTTGTTGTTCTCTTTGCTGTTAGTGTATGAAATTCTGCATTAATATTTTCCTTGGTGTTGGCCAATTTCAGCCATTGTTCTGTGCCACTAATTGGCCCTTATTATTTATACACTTTAGTTTTTTGATTCCACTAAACATTAAAAAATTTATCATTTTCCTCCCATTCAACTTTTTTTTTTTTTGGTTTGGATCTGTAATTATCAAAAAGTTGGATGCCTTTAATAGTTTTCTATTTTTTCTTTCTCTAACTCAGCTCTAAGGTCTGGGGACATTTATTCAATATCTGCCAAACTTCATATTGTATTTTTTGCATCTGCTGTCATACTTTTAATTTTTAAGAGCATTTTAAATCTTAATATTCATTTTAAATATTCACCTTATATTTTAGCTATTGGATATTAATTATTTTTAAACTACTTTATTAATAAAACATAAATTTTAACCATTGTCTCCATCGTTATTTCTATTTCTTAGAAACGTTCTCCAGTGTTCTGTGATTCTGGGTCCCTATCCAGATGATTGGGAGCACTGAGCATGTGCTGTAAGGTTGTGGGTTTTGACTGATAACCAGCTGCACTATTTTTTGGTGTTAATATTGTGTGGCCATTTCTTTTACCTGGTAATATTCTACAAGGAAAAGTCCTCACATCTCTTTTATTCTAGAGAATAAAACTCTGGCAACCAGCATTGGGAGAACAAAGTGGGGGGACAGTAAGGTCTCGACATGTAGTAGGTAAATGTCAAGGTAATTAGTTTATTTTATGTTTAGGATTGTTGCCCCTGCATTTCACCTGCTAGGAACATTTTTCTTTCCTTCTCTCTCTCTCTCTCTCTTTCTTTCTTTTTTGAGTTTCGCTCTTGTTACCCAGGCTGGAGTGCAATGGCAGGATCTCGGCTCACCGCAACCTCCGCCTCCTGGGTTCAGGCAATTCTCCTGCCTCAGCCTCCCAAGTAGCTGGGATTACAAGCATGAGCCACCGCGTCCGCCCCCCCCCCCTACACACACACCCTTTTTAAAGGAGATCATTCTTCAATTGTCTGGTGACCATCTATTTGTCATTATAAATATAATTGCTCATCAGAAAATGCTATACCTAACATCAGCTAACAAAAGTTAGAGGTGCATAGAGCAGGATGGGTGTTGTGGCTCAAGCCTATAAATTTCAGCACTTTGGGAGGCCGAGGCCAGTGGATAGCTGGAATTCAGGAGTTCGAGACCAGCATGGACAAGAGGAAGAAACCCTGTCTCTACTAAAAATACAATAATTAGGCTGAGCACTGTGGCTCAGGCCTGGAATCCCAACACTTTAGGAGGCTGAGGCACATGAATTGCTTGAACCTGAGTGGTAGAAGTTTCAGTGAGCCAAGATCTTGCCACTGCACTCCAACCTGGGTGACAGAGCGAGACTCAGTTTCAAACAAACACAGCAACAACAAAACAGAAAAATACAAAAAGCAAAAACGAGCTGGGTGTGGTGGCATGCGGCTGTAATCCCAGCTGCTCAGGAGGCTGAGGCAGAATAGCTTGAGCTCAAGAGATGGAAGTTGCAGTGAGCCGAGATTGCATTACTGCACTCCAGCCTAGAGGATAGAGCCAGACCCTGTCTAGAACAAAACAAAACAAAACAAAATGCATAGAGCAGCAAGGAAATTAAAAATTTTAAGCTTTTTATGAAACAGAGATAACATTTTATGGAATATATAGAAGTATCTGAGTTAGAAATCATTATT